TCCGGATGTTACAGATTACAGGTTTGGGGTAGACGAATTTAATCAGGCTAAGGATGAATAGTAACAGCTCACTAATGCATTAACCTTATGTATTTTATCTTTTATCTTTCTTTCTTAATGATTTCCTATAACTATCACAATATAAACCGTTTTACATTTATATTTGATAATTATACTTTTTAGATTTCATAGTTATCTAGTGTGTGTGTGTGTATATATATATATATATATATATATATATATATATATATATATATAGTTTTCCATACATATATACCCTAATTATGGTTAATTTGAAAAGTGGATATTTGGGCTGAGTAACGATTAGGTACAGTGCATATCCCTGTATTTGACCATCATTACTTCTAGATACTATGTTATCCTAGGAAATTGGTCATTATAACATCTAGGTAATATCTCCTCCTAGATTATCGGACATCATAAAGCTTAGGCATAATATCATAGCTTACAACTAGGTATAGTATCTATAGCTACAGTATCCTAAGGTTTCATGCTTTTTATAATGATTGATATTTATAGATATAAATATATTTTGATAAAGCAGTTTGATAAGCATGTATTCCCCCCGTAAAAATTTTAAAATAGTAAAATGGGGTCGTGAACTCACTCTAGTAGCGTAATCTGAAGCATCCATGATACTGCACTCGAAGCTTCGAGCCCACTCAAAGCTTCGAGTCATTGGGAGGACTTATGAAATAGCTCGAGAGATAGAGAGAAAGAGTGTTAGGTGTGAAGAAATAGGAAAGTGAGCACCTCTATTTATAATGCTTCTGCGCACGACGCACTTCAATCGCGACCTGCACTCAACTCGTGGCTCCATCCATATTTTGCCACGTGTCACACTTATGATGATCCACATCTCTCTAATCTCGACAAATTTGGGTGTCAGACATGCGCGTCGAGCATGGCACGCACTTGGCGTGCACCTCTAAATCTTTTATAAAAATTCATATCTTCCTTATATGAATCTTGTTTCTTACCCTCTTTATATATTTATGTAGTTCTCTACTAGTACTACAAGTTTCCTTAAGGTTGCGTTGTCAAATTTTAACTTTTATTTTTATCTCGTATTTTATATTTTTCTAAAAACCGTATCTTCTTCATACGAACTCTGTTTTTGACCTTTTTCTTTTTAAAGGTCTTATCTCTCAAAATACTATGATTTTCCTTTTAGTGACATTAGCCAAAACTCAACTGATTTCTTTGTGCCATTTTGGCGCTAATAGTGTTATTAACGCGGTTGATCATAACTCTGTTGCATTAGGTGTCTAAGCCCCTTAACTATAATTGGTATGTACTTGAATTGATAGCAGCACAGTCCTTTTGGGTTTTCCTCAAACCTAGCAATTGGACAAGGAAATTATGAAAGGAGAGAAATTAATTTATTATAAGATTAATAAATTAATATAAATGATTTATTAATGTGTTATGAAAATGATATATTAATTAGAAATCATAATATTAAATTAATAGTTAACCAGAAGTTAATTGGAATTGATTTTGGGGTTAATTGTATTAATTATAAAGTACAGGGACTAGTTTGCAATTGTTAAATAGTTGGAAGGAACAT